GATTAAAAATTCATTGGAAAGCATCACCAGCAGACTAGAACTTGGAAGATAAAGTTTCAGGCAATGAAGACAAAAATATACAATCTTGAAAATATATTTGACCATGGAGAAAAGATGTTAAGAGACCATGAATCAGAACTTCCAGGTAATACTGGGATTGCATGAAAAGAACAAATTTAGACGAAGGCCCAGAGATACAAACTAAGGGAATGAACATTCTTTTCAATGAATTAATATCTGAAAATTTCCCAAATTTAAAGAATAAAATGGAAAATCAAATACAAGAGGCACACAGGACTCCAAATATACAATATTTTAGAACAGACCCAAACCAAGGCACATTATTGTAAAAATGCCTAACCTACAGAAGGATAGAATTTTAAAGGCTACCAGAGGAAAATGCCAGGTCAAATATACAGGGAAACCAATACAGATCATAGATGATTTTTCAACCCAGAGGCTCAAACGAGGAGGCCTTGGAAAAATATATACCAAGCTCTGAAAGAAAATAGAAGCTAACCAAGAATACTATAACCCAGCAAAATTAAGCTTCAGAATCAACAATGAAATAAAATCTTCCATGATAAATGTTAATTCAGAACTAGAAAGTGTGCCCTCCAAAACACTCAATAAAATATTTCATGAAGAAGAAATGAAAAATAAAACCAAAGACCAGTAAAGGGAGAAACTACACTAGAAGAATAGTCAATCAAAGGAGAAACTTTTCAAATTAAAAACCAGAAATAAATCAAAAGGACAGGGATTAAAATAATTTCATAATAATAACATTGAATGTAAATGACTGAAACTCATCAATCAAAAGAAATAGACTGGCAGATTGGATTCAAAACCAAGATCCTAGAGACTCAAGTCATAGGCAAAGACATCCACAGACTTAAGTTTTACCTTATCATTCACATGGATCTCATAAGCAAGGATGGGTTTCCATCCTCAAAATCTGATATAGTGGACTTCAAGTCAAAGTTAATCAGAAGGGACAGAAGTCCATTTCATACTTCTTAAGGGAAATATATACATCAACAAGACATAACAGTCATAAATATTTATTCCTCAAAAAATGGAGTATCTACATACATCAGACAAACTCTTTACAATCTCAAGAATGAAATACATCTCAGCATAATAATAATGGATGACTTTCTTGTCTTCTCACCACTTAATTGATCTTCAAAACAAAAACTAAAGAAGCTATAGAACTAAAAAAATACAATTAATAAGTAGACTTTACAGACATAGGTAGAATATTTTATTCATCAGTGACTGGATACACTTTCTTTTCAGCAGCACATGGATCTTTCTCTTAAAAAGAACATATCTTGGGTCAAAAGTAACTCTTAGCAAATGCAAAACAAAAACAACCCAGGTAATTCCTTGCATTCTATCAGATCATAATGGAATGAAATTAGAAATAAATGATAAAAATAGAAGCTACTCTAACAACCGGGAGACTAAATAGTATGCTATTGAATGACCCATGGTTAGCAGAAGAAATCAGCGATGCAATAAAAAAAAATACTTGGGTTAAATGAGAATAGCAATAAAACATATCAAAATCTCTGGGACATTATGAAGGCAGCACTAAGAGGAAAGTTCATTGCATGGAGCTCATTCCTTAAAAGAACATAAAGTCAACAAGTAAACATCTCAAAGCCCTAGAAAAAGAAGAACAAATCAATACCAAAATCTCTAGAAGACAGGAACTAATTAAAATCAGAAGCAGAATTAATATTGTCAAAATGACCATACTACCAAAAGCACTATATAGACTTAATGCATTCCTGTTAAAATTGCAATGATATTCTTCATAGGAATAGAAAAAAAAAAAAACAGTGATGCATTCATTTGGAAAAATGAGAGGCCCAGAATAGCCACAGCAATCCTTGGTGAGAAAAGTGATTCAGGAAGCTCATAATGCCAGACCTTAAATTATACTGCAGAGCTATACTGCAGAGTTCAAGAGAAATTTTTAAACAGGTTTTTCTGCTGAAGTCTGGGAACTTGCATATCAATATCAGGGGACATTTTTTGATTTTCATATCTACCCAGGTGCACATACAAACAGTGGGTACAGCTTTCTTTTTACCTAATTTATTAATTATATGCTTTTTGATTTTATTTAATTAGATCTGTATCATATCTGTAGGTTTTCAATAATTTTTTACATGTATCTCCTTGGATATGTTTTTATCAATATTGTTTTTCTACCCCTGAACATAATTTATTGAATTCTCCAATTATAAATCTCTGTAGTATGGTACCAATTTTAGTTCTGTTATATCATCCATGTATATAATTTTATTCCATCTTTTAAATTCCTCTGAGACTATGTTAATTTTTTAACTTTTTTATGTTATAAACAACAGTGGGATGCATTTTGATGTAATCATACATGCATGGAATATATTTGCTTCATTGCTTTCACATGAGAGAAAAAATTTAACTTTTGACTTTGATTCATTTCACTTGGAATACTGTTCTTCAGTTCCATAAATTTACTAGCAAATACCATAACTTAGATATTTTTCCACTGAGGGTAGCTGAAATCAGCTGTTCCTTTATTTATATTTCAGTGCAGGGGATAACTTAGTTAGTAGTTGAGTTCAAAGCCAGCCTCCGCAATTTAATGAGACCCTATCTCTAAATTAAATATAAAATAAAAGGACTGGGGGTGTGGCTTAGTAGCTGAGCTCCCCAGGTTCAATACCTGGCACAAAAGAAAAAAAGAAAGAAAAAGAATTTTAAAATAGTTAGCTTTCAGTTTACCTAAATTAATATTTTGTTGTACTCTCCAAGGCATGCTTTTGATAGATAAACATTTTTTTAGTTTCACCAAGTTAGAACACCTCTATTCCAAGTACATTTTCGAAACAAAACAAACAAAACAAAACAAAACAAAAACCCTAGATTTAGTCCATGATATATCATGAAGGCATATTACTAGGAACAGAAACATTTTATTCTTTTCAGCACATAGTACCACATCTTCAAATATAAGACATTCTTTGAAAGTCTGTTTTTTTCTAGGTCACTAAACAATATATTTGCAGGATGTTTATATAATCCATTGAAATCAATAAACAATTTAAACTGAAGTAAATGTAGATTTATGTCTCAGGCAAAATTGGAAGTTTTCCTGGAAGCTGTATGACAGAACATACAGCTGTAGGAGTTTATGTGCATAAACATTCACTGCAGTAAATAAACTTCCTTTAAGATTGCAGGAAAATGCTAACTCCTTAATCATGTATATGAATAAACAGATTTCTAGAAAACTTTATCCATGGCTTTAAGTAAATGGAAACTTTTATTATAGTGAAGGTTAATTTTGCTTTGAACCCACTTAAGAAATACCTCAAAAAATAAAGTTAGCCAACCATAAAATGGTTTCAATTTTGATTGTATTTCATAAGCACTTCTTATCAAAGTGTAAATATTAATATTATCACTTTAAATTTTATATTTGAGTTCACAACTATTACTAAAATTAAATTTAAACATTAGCATATTCTACTAGCTTGAATCAGCTTAACGTTATGATTTTTGTAAATTAAGTTAAAGATCAATAGGCAAGTATTCCTTATACCATAGCACAGACTAGTGGATCCTATAATGGAATTTTAGTTGTTATTTGGATAAAACAAAATAGCTTAATTATACTGATTCTAGTTTTGAATTTGAGAACAAAATAAAGAGGAATGGAGGCTTTACATCTTAAGTGGCATCTTTAATTTCAATATGTCAAGAGCTTTGTAATGTTTTGAACAACCAATAAAAAAAAATAATTTCAACTCTCACTTGGAGTTGCATAGTTGCATCTTAGATTTCCAAGATGTACTACACACACTGCAAATAACTATTCTGTCCATGCATTTGCATAGGTGCTGTAAAACTTGCTCTTACATATGTCATAGATCAAGTTTTAGATACAATTAATTATCCTTAGATTGTGTTCTTTAAAGTAGGTAATGTGTAAACAGATTGTCTTGCTTAATAGTTGTACTTTGTGTGACAGTATAGTGTTATAATTTTTAAGAACATAATGGGAAGAAAAAAGGCAGAGTTAAGCAACTTATTAGCATTTTATTTATCTATTTATCAAGGAATTGCCAAAAACACTTCATATAAGTGCTTTATAATTAGAAGGATCCAGAAATTTTAGTTGTTATTTGGGTAAAACAAAATAGCTTAATTATACTGATTCTAGTTTTGAATTTGAGAACAAAATAAAGAGGAATGGAGGCTTTACATCTTAAGTGGCATCTTTAATTTCAACTCATAAACTCTAATAAAAGTCATATTTTTCTTATATTTAAATATTTAAAAAATTCTTTTTAAAAAATACAGTTGTCTATTAGCAAAGACTAGAAAGGGGACCTCACTTGTGTTGAGAAGGGACCATTTTATTTCTGTTTCCTGTGTTCTGAAAGAATAGGAACATGATTGGACTCTAAATAAAATTTTCATCTATTATACATATTTTATTTCATTTCATAAATTAAGGTTTTTTTAACAGAAAAGAATTTGTTCTGCATAGTTTAAGAGAATATGATTAAATTACTAGAGCATAAGAACTAATTTTAAAGGCATTATACATGGAATTGTTATTCTAATACAAAAAACTTTATTTAGAGATAAAATTCTAAAGAATTATGTCTGGAAATCATTAAGATATCAGTTATATAGGAATTTTCTCCCAAATGCACATCAAACTTAATTACTAGGACTATTTATTTATTTATTGTACATATTATGAAGACTTAATAGCATAGCTGAGAACTAGCACCTGATTTTATGTCTTCCCATCATCCTTGATCAAAGGAAGAAAATATGTAATTTTAATCATATATTTTTAAATCTTATATATTGGATCACATAGAGATAAGAAAAAAATAACTGTGTCTAGTGTTTGGAAATTTGGAATTCCAAGTTTGTATTTTTGTCCCTTTGTCTACAATTTACTTTTGTTTTTTTGCTTACAGATTCCACTCTGATTGGTGTTCACCTTCAAACTGCGATGAGATCCATGACCGGGTAAAAAATGTCTTGAAATCACATCAGGCTCATCCAGGACATTTATATGTTAGTTTCTAAAATTTTCTCTTCAAGGCTTTTTATAACAGGACAAGAAAACTACCTAAGATGCTTAATGCTTGCAGTGTTTATTCACTGGAAATAAAGAAAAGCATACTCCATTTGAGGGAAGTTAATGAGCTTGCTATAAGCAACTTATCTAGCTTTCTGCTTGACCTGGGTCATGCAAAATTTTTGACATAGATCATCAGAAATATAAACAGTGTTAGTGATGATTATCATATAAAGCGTAAATAGTAGGCAATCCCTATTAGGTACCCTCTCGCCCTGTAGGAGCTCTGTCTCTTTTGTTCTCACTTGAATAAATCTTTTACACTCAAAAAAAAAAAAAAAAAGTAGTAACTTCATGATAATTATTTCACAGTCTTCAAAACATGAAAGTTCTTGTTCTGTGGTACGGTATAAAGAAATTCCATTTGTTACAAATAGGTTTGTTTCTAAGTGGTAGAATATGAGAGAGGGGTTTTGAAAGTTTATATTTTGAAGAAACTTCACCACTGATTTGTATATTAATTAAATATTTAAGGAATAAAAAGAGATGGTTAGGTCTATCATTTTATTATTAAGAGAATATAAATATGAGAATATTTTCTGTGATAAAATAAACACATTTACATGCATGACAGGAAATAATGACAGCATTCTCTTTTGTATTTTATATCTTATTTCATTTGTCAATTTAAAAAACAATCATCATCAGTTTCATGTTTGGCAGAAGCTTATGATTTAACCCTGGGATCAATTGTTTAATACATTTAAAAATTTTTCCCATTTTTATTAGTGAATTATAATTATTACAATGTTAAGTATCTATATGTAATTTTTTTTAAGATTCAATTTGTTTTCAAAGCATAATATACATATAGAAAATGCATAAAGCATTAGTAATATCTTGATGAACTGTAATAAAATCAAGAAACTCATGTAAACTATTTACCATATCAAGAAACAAAACATTATCAGTTCTGGAAAAGCCCGTTTCCTGCCAGCCTCTGCTGCTCTAAGAGTAAACATTGTCTGACTTCTAACAAAACATTATCTTCTAACACCAAGATTAGCATTCCTTGTTTTGAACTTATATATAAGTGACACTCTACAGTGTTTAGTCCCCTTTTTCCTGACTTGGCTCACTTTGTTTTTGCCATTCAGACATTTCAGATATCTTTGTTTTGTTTTGTTTGTAGTAGGAGTTCTTCATTGTATGAAAATCCTGCTTTTTATTTATTAATTTCTCTGTTGATGGATATTGGATCGTTTCTGGTTTGGACTGTTATGGAGTTGCAATGAGAAGATTGTACATTTCCTTGAGTGATACTGCATATATTTTATTTGGGCATATACCTATCTGTGAGAGTACTAAGTTAGGGATATGTGTATATTCAGTTTTAGTAGATACTGTTGAAGAAATTTGCACATGATTCTAACTGTTGACATTACCACTACCAGAGTGGAACTGTTCTAACTTGTTCAATGTCTTCATTGCAACTTGATTGATCGTGTGTGTGTGTGTGTGTGTGTGTATGTATGTGTGTGTATGTGTATGTGTATTTTGGTCTTTAGATAAGTGAAAAGTAGTTTATCACATAGTGATTTAATTTGCTGTTTCCTGATATCAAGTGAATATTTTTATTAGAGATTTGAATGTCCTTTATTGTGAATGCCTTTAATGTTGTCTGCCCATTTTTCTAATGGATTATCAACCTTTAATTTTTAGTTAAGATTTCAATATAGATTCTTGACATAAGTGCTTGTGTTTTACAATTTTTCTCTCAATGATACCCTTTAATGAAAAGCAGTTCTTAATGCTATTGAATATAATTCATTATTTTCCCTTTTGGTTAGCATTTTTGTAATTTCCAGACTTTTTCCTCTGTTTTTTTTTTTTTTTTTTTTCTTATAAGAGCCTTTTTGTTTTCTTTTACATTTATTTGAATTTTTTTTCTATACAGTGATTGCTAGGTATTCAATTTCAAGAAAGGTTTAATTATCATAATAGAGGTTTATTTTTCTTTCTAGTTCTATTAATTTTATATATTTTGAAGCTATTTCATTGGTTGGATACAGATTTCAGACTGTACTATGAACTGTCTAACCATGAAGTCCCTCTTTATCTTTAATAATATGCCTTGTTTCACAGTAATTGTCTGGTATTAGGATAGCTATAGTGGCTAGTGTTGAATTATATATATTTTTCCATCTACTTTTTTATAATTATATATAAATGTGTATCTTGCAAGTAGCACTTTATGTAATTTTAATCATATATTTTTAAATCTTATATATTGGATCACATAGAGATAAGAAAAAATAACTGTCTAGCGTTTGGAAACTTGGAATTCTAAGTTTGTATTTTTGCCCCTTTGTCTAAGAATAAAAATCTAATGTTGTTTTGTAAGTTATTGTAGCTTTATTTAAATTAATCAAACTTAAATAATTCATTTTCCTTTTTATTAATTTGTTCATTTTTTTGCTGTTTTGTTGTTTTCCCTGTTGGTTTCAACATTCTTACATGACAGAATATTTCTTTTAATGAAGGTTAACATCACCACTAATAACTCATTTTGATAATTATGTATATCTTGAATGTCATGTCATGTGATAGACTGTTCTCCATAATATTGTTCCCCCAAAGCCACAACCTTGGTCTAAATGTTAGAAAACATCAGACAAGACCAAGGAAGGACTTTCCATAAAATATCTGAGCAGTGCTCTTCAAGTATTGCTATATACAGCTGTGTCAAGATTATAAATAATAAGGAAGGACTAAGAAATTTGTCACAGATATGATGAGATTAAGGAGGAATGGTAACTAAATGCAGCATGATATTCTATGTTGGATCTTGTAACAGAGAAAAAGTGCATTATTGGAAAGATTGATAAAATCCGAATAATGGCAGCTAATATAATAGTATTTTGCCAATCTTAGTTTCTTGGTTTCATGGGATGTACTATATATCAGATGTTAACATTTAGAGAACCTCAATGAAAGGTGAAGTTTCTATGTGGTCTATGTGGTTACTTTTGCAACTTTTCTGTGAATCTAAATGTGTATCCCAAAATAAAATAAATTGTTCTTAATTTGAACGCTTTTGGCCTTTAAGTAAGCCTTGGCATGATTTCAGGCCCATTTCCTTTTGAGGTGTTGTGTATAATTCTTACCTTCTCAGGCAAGACAGTATGAAACTCCCTTCTGCCTTCCACTTCGCCTTTGTCCTCTTCCTTTGCAGTTTCAGACATCCTACAATTGTTTTGAGGGAACAGTCAGCTCAATTTTTCAGCCATCACTCTCACTGGAGTTTGAGTTCTCAAATACTTAATTTTGTCTGGCTAGCATTGTAGACTAGTAAGACCCTACTGGTTCCTTTGTTCTCTGCTCAAAGTCCAAAATGCCCCAGGGAAAAAGCCAGCTTCAGTTAGTTCACCTTTGAGGTTATCTCTTCTCAGGAATCTTGGCACTATTAATAGAAGTAGCTTTCTAACTCCTTTAAATAAGAGAAAAATTACACATCTGAGCAAATTACTTCTTCCTACTCAGAGGTGGAAGATGTCACACCACTTTTTAAAATTAACTTTATTTTTACCTCTGGCTTGACTTTCTTGAATGGACAGCATAGGTTTGCTCATGCTAGCTTACACTAGGCACTAATCTGAATATCTTCTAAGAGCAATCTGAGCACAAACTCTTAAAGTTAGATCTAAGATTTACTTTCTTCCTGTGTTCACTCATAGTATTTGTTTGTTTGTTTGTTTGTTTGTGGTGCTGGGGATTGAACACGGGGCCTTGTGCGTGCAAGGCAAGCACTCTACCAACTGAGCCATATCCCCAGCTCTCATATAGAATTTTTTTGAGAATTTTTATACCAAATCCATACATCTGTACTTTTCACTGTTCACAGAGTGGGGATATTTTTAAGATATCAATTTTCTATTCATAGGAATTTATATAATCCAATGATTATTTAATAAATGGATAAGTTAATATGAAACAGTAAAAAAAAAAGAGAGAAAACAGTGTGCTATAGTATAATTTAGTATAATAAGAGGCATAAACAGGAATTGTCATTCTTCTTCTAGAGAAAAACTAAAATTTATTAACAGGTAATAACTATTAATAATGTTTGCTATAAGCCAGGTTCTGTGCATGTATTATCGCACTTTTTCCTTTCAATAATCTTAAGGGTGCTTGTTTTAGTCAGCTTTTTGTCTCTGCGACCAAAAGACTTGACAAAAATGATATTGAGACAGAAAAGTTTATTTTGGCCCTCAGTTTCAGAGGTCTCAATCCATAGATGGTAACTCCATAGCTTTTAACCTAAGGTAAGGCAGGCATCATGGGGGAAGGGTATGGCAGAAGAAAGCAGCGCAGATCATGGCAATAAGGAAGCCTACGAACTCTTTTCACCAGGGACAAAGTATAAATCCCTAAAGCAATCCCTTAGTGACTTACTTCTTCCAGCCACTCCCTACCTGCCTACAGTTACCTCCCTGTTAATAATCCACATCAGTGGATTAATGAACTTGATTATGTTAAGGCTCATATAGCTCAGTGATTTCATCTCTAAACTTTCTTGCATTGTCTCACACATAAGCTTTTGAGGGGTATCTCAAATCTAAACTATAAGAGTGCTATTAAGAATAAAATATTATTTTAAGATGAAGAAACTAAGGCCAAGAAAAGTTAAGTGACTTGTATAAATTCAATGATTATACACATGAAATAATTATATAAATTAAATAATTGTAGCCAGCATTTGAATCTAGGTTACACTCTTTGACTTTCACTGACTTCCACAGAGATAAACACAGAGAACACCCAGATGCATATAACCCTTGTTTTTTTTTTCCTTTTGCAAACTTTTGGTAGCATTAATTTGTAGGCATTTTCCTAAACATAAACATAAAACATATATCCAACCATAAACATATAAAATATATAAACATAACATTCACAGAACCATATTTGTTCAGGAACAGACATAAAAGTAAGC